TTTGGTGGAACTTGTTTTTTAATTTATTTGCTAACATTACCCCAGAAAACGTGAGCGAACATTCCGACCGGTTCATCACAAGACCGGCTGTACGTTTTACGAACGAGCAACACAGGGTTAAATGAGCTAAATGGGTGATTTTGGCCGCTGCCTTGGTTAGTGTGTGTGTGTGTGTGTGTGTGTGTGTGTGTGTGTGTGTGTGTGCGCACGCGCATGGGGGTCGTCCCTGCAAAATAAACATTGCAGTGATGAAGTCAGTGTTTACTGACAGTTACTTATATCTTGTCTTTTCACTTTATTAAGATCAGATTCTGCAGGTAAAATTACAATAATAAGGTGACTTGACTTGACTTGACATAACCTGTGACTTGACTTGACTTGCCCAAGAAAAAATGACTTGGGACTTACTTGAGACTTGAAGGTTAAGACTTGAGACTTACTTGAGACTTGCACATGTGTGACTTGGTCCCATCTCTGCTGTATACATAAAGGTTATTAAATGCAAATATAACTGACAAATCCACCCGAAATTAATTACAATGTTAATTTTTATTGGCACACCCACCCGACAAGATTTGCATCTCTAATATACATATATTTTTTCTATGTCTGCTGCACAAGGGTCTGCACATTTGGCTTTACCTCCAGTATAGTGACATGGTCCTGTCAGAGAATACTGGTATGAGGGAGACGTCTTTCACATCGTCAGGCTGACAACTTTAATTTCTCCAATTTACAGAATCACAACTGTTGCACTTGTTGTTTTAATGTTTAAATGTTTCTATGACAGCCTGTTATGTTGGTGTTCAAGGGAGCGACGTTGTCAGCATGGATGGATGACTGAAGGGGCCTACTGAGCACAGGCCCAGGGGCCCAAAGTGTCAGGGGGAAATGTCACTCAAATTAAGAAGAGACACCTGTTGGGATGCAGTTTCCTGTTGGTTAATCATAACCCAGGATTCATACATTGTGGTTTTGTGTCCTTGTCTTTGGCTCAGGAGGATCTCTTTGACATTCTGATCGTGGCCACAGATCATGTAGCTGTAAGTGTTTTGTGACTTGTATGTCTCATAATTTCTAATGAATGTGAACGCTGTGTTTCTAAACCAAATATGTGCACATATCTGGATGCTGAATATTGGGCTGCTTGTTCTCTACCCACTCACTACAACAGCACACAGATCTGGAGGTTGGTCACTTTGTTCAGGAAGCATTCATCATCTCTGGTGGTTTAAAACTCTCGCAGGTCCACAGAAGTCACAGGAGATAACAGTATCACAGAAAATCAACACAAGTTTTTCTGAGGTTTTGTTCTTTGTCCCAGAGTCACTGACAGATCTGTTGTCTTCAACACAGATATTCAGGTGTTGCTTGTTTGCAGAAGTTTACACAAGATTAGATAAAAAGACAGCTTATAGTCTTGAAACATTAATAGCACGTTGCAACAAGAGTCAAACAGGAGGCAGGATGTGTAAAGAGAAGCAGTGTGTCCAGCTGCTGTTTCCTCTCAATCACAATCAGGTTTGTGGCCAAGCAGGTTTTCACACAGTGATTTGCTTCAATGTATCGGTGCATAACTCACACTTAATCAGACACAAAAATAAAGAGTGAGAAATATTAGACAGAATAAAATATACTTTAAAGTATTTACAGTATATCTGAGTTAAAGTGAAGGAGCAGTGCAGTTGTTAGAGGTGGTGCTTGTGCAGAGGAATGTGTGAGGACGACTCCGAGTCAAAATACAGTCATTCAATCGCCACAAAAAATGTTGGCTTTGTTCCTTTCTGTAAACCACAGATATGTAGCTTCAGACTGTCTCTGACTGCAACTCCCATAATCCTCTGGTGAGGTGGGCCAATCACTGGCTCTTTATATACCTCTAAACTACAGGAAATGTGTTCCTTCAGCTCAGGCTCTGACTGGCTATGGAGGCCATAACAACAGCACTGGAAGCTCCTATTGGCTCAGTGAGGTGTCAATCAAAAGGTCAGGAGCTGGCCTCCATTTTGAGATCCAGCCGGTGGGTTTGTTTCCATGCAGGACAGAGACATGATGGATAACATGTGGAGACATGTGAAGGTTTGAAAGGATGCAGCAGCAGCTGGTGGAGATCTGTGGATGGAGTCACGTGTTTGGATTTACATCATGTGGATTTTTAATGCCGTCACACAGCCTGATGAATAATTGCGCTCCGCTATACTTTGTAGACTTGTTGTTCACAAACTGTGAAAGCATTCTGCAGAGCCTTGCCATATAGTGACGGTGGCTGACATCTATAGTTGGAGGCAGCTGCCTCGGGCCCCACGCTGAAAAGGCGTGAGGGAAGGTGATATAAGATGCTGCTCAACAGTCTCCAACTGCACTTTGTTTGTAGTGAAGTGATTTCTTAAAGCTGACCTGACTGCAAATAAACAGTGGAGAACATTGTGATTCTGAAAATGAGCCTCAGACATTATATTTTCATTTTCCATATAAACAGCTGAAACTCAAACTCAGAAACTTCAAAACAGCAGTGACATAAAGTCGCAACATAAGCATCCAGTAGTGAGCCACATCAGGGTCAAACCAGACAATAGATGCACCAAATATTCTCCATCAAACATGGAGGCTTGATTTCCCATGTCTCTCACATCACATCAAATCAACATTTAGAGTAAATAAGACGGTTCCAGAGGTCGGCGCTGCAGGAATCCACCAACACATGTAACAAATAGTTGGTTTGGGAGAAAGCAGAGCCGGGTGGTGAAAGGCTCTGTGATCGAATGTATGCAGACAGAGACGGAGAAATTAGGATGCCTATTTCTGAAAATGATGAAGTGTGACATGTGCTCAGCCCTCATCTAAACGCTCAGCGCCTCCCTCCCTCCCACACAGGCTCGGCTGGGGAGGGAGGAGCTGAGGAAATGCCTGTGGCCGAGCCTCTTATTTTTCCATGGCAGCGTTATAAACATATAGAGCAATAACATCTCCTGTATGTAGCCTCTCTGTCCGCAGAGCTGCGGCCGGCCCCTCAAAAGCTGCACTATGTTATTACCGCCTGCTATGAATGCCCTCTGTGTGCGTGTGTGTGTGTGTGGGTGTGTATACATGTCCTTATCTATCTGGTGCTGTGCTCACATGCATGTGTTTGCTCCTCAGAGACATGCAACATATAATAAGTGTAAATGTTTATTTCCTGTGTAAGTGATCCAGACACAGGTAGACGGAGGCAGTCTGACACGTGGGCGTAAATGTGTCACAGAAATAGACTGGAGGTAAAGGTGGAGACTGTGTGTCAGCTGAATGGGCCCGACTGTCTCTGCAACAGGAATAAATAGGTCTTTGCATGCAGCTCAGCTCCCTGTGACCAGCAGCGGTGGAGCCTGACGAGTCGACCTGTTTATGTACCTTCAGATTTTATTGATTAGATACAGTGTGAGCATTCAGAGAGGAAGAATCAACAGCACACAGTCAGAGCTCAGCATCTGTTCTGCTGCCTCTTCACCTCAGCCTCCATCCTCTAAAAATATATGACAGACGATTTTAAATCAAATGCCATTAATTATATTATTAAACCACTTGTTTTCATTTTGTGACCTTATAAACATGTTTCCATTCGTCACTGACAAACTGTCTCTGCATGACTGTGCACATGTGTGTAACATGTGACCACACTCAGTAAAACCTTCACTGAACATTTGTCACTTTGCATTTTATATGATTCAGAATATTTTATTTTAATTTCACTGGTTCTGTTCCTGCCAGTCATTTGACCACTTAGTCTGAGTTATTACAACTTTAGTTGTAATAACTCAGGAAAAATCGTTTGAGTTCCAGTTTTTCACTTCAAAACCTTTAATAAAAAAATGTATTGGTTTTGCACTTTATTTGAATTAGAATATAATATTTTAATTTTAATTTTTTGTTCCTGCCAGTCTATCATTTGCCACCATTGTTCACTTTCTGAAGGTACCTGGTTGCAATAATTTAGGGGGAAAAAACAGTAAAATATGTGTTTTTCTGTTAGACTTTTAGTGAAAATGAATGTGAATTTATCATTTTGCTCTTTATTTGAATATTTTACTTTACTTTTACATTTTTATGTTTGACTGATGCTGCCGCCAGTCATTTGACCGTTTGACGAGTTTCTCTGCATGAAAATGTTTTGGTTTTGCACTTTATTTGAATTAGGGTATTTTACTTTAATATTACAGGTTTTGTTTCTGCAAGTCATGTGACCACTTCTCACTTCACTGAATGTATTTGATCATAACAGTTCAGTAAAAATCTGTAAAATAACATTATTTTCATGTTAAACTTGTAGCACCATGACTTTATTGAGGCTGTTTTTTTTATTAATTTGGGCTAAAATCTGTAAAGTAACAGTGTTTCTCTGCAAAACCTTTAATGATAATTTACTGGTTTTGCATTTTATTTTTAATTAAAACATTTTACTTTAATTGTACATTTTTTGTTTGACCGCTGCTGCTGCTGTTTGTCACTTTATTGAAGGTATGTGGTCGTAATGATTTATTAAAATCTGTTTAATAACTGTTTTCCTGGTAAACTTTTAGTACCATCACCTTATAGAAGATGTTTTGTTGTAATAATTTGGGAAAAGTCTGTAGCTTAAAGTGTTTCTCTGCAAAAACAAATTGCAAAAAAAATCTGAAACTGTACTGTTTTGCACTTCATTTGAATATTTTACTTTAATTTTACAGGTTTTGTTTTACTAGCTTCAAGAAATACTACATTATCAGACCTGTGTTTCATCCACTACCAGAAATCTGTTATTTTTGAACATTTTATGAGATCAGTGTTTCTTTTGTCTTTCTCTCTCATTTTATCACCAGACTGTACACAGTGTTTTCATTTGTATCGTAAATTTGTGTTCTGGCCTTCTGCATCTATTTTCATGTCTTCTTTTTATCATGTCCTTTCTCAGACAGGTGGATTCAGCCCTCCAACTGCAACATTACACTACAACATTACACAACATTACAGGAACCACTCATACAGCATTAGAGGGTCATAGACAGACACTGTATTTACTGTAATGCTTCACCTGGTGATACAAACACAGGCCGAGCAGCAGCAACAAAAAAATGGTTTTGGGCCCCAAAACTTCTGACGATATTATATACCTGGTATCCTTCCTGATCCTCCAGGCTGAAGACATGCACCATTATGGAGAGAAAAGGCTCCATCTATGTGAAATGGTCCTTAAATATATGATGAAAGGGAGATTTATATTTCAGCTCCGTCCTCTTCCTGCCCACGTCTGGAAATCCCCGTTGTTAATGTAGTATTTTAGAGTCCATAAAAAGTCTGTGACAAACATCATGAGTGGCTGAAATACAAAAACAAAGCAGAGTGTCTGTGTGAGAGACGAGACCTCTGACTCACATACTTTGGATTGTGTTTTATCCTGTTTCTACATTTTCAGTCAGTATATAATCACATGGTGTGTCAGCACACTGCACCGTCGCTCTGCTTCTTATTTAGAGCTTTGTTTGTCATTGTCAAAAGGATCCGTCGAGCTAAAATACTCGGAGGTGTTTTTCCATCCTTCAGCCTCAGGCTGGATATCACGCTCTGATGTCATCGTCTTTATGTGTGTCTGAAACTACAGTCTTTGTGTCTCTTGATTGATCCGTCTGCTGACAGCAGGAATATACAGCATCTTTACATGCTCACAGACACACGGGACACAACAGCGTAAATTAATGTTGTGTGTGAGGTCTGCTATTGTCCTCTTCTGTTAATGTCTATAATTACATCTCAGAAATACCGTCAGAATACCGCCTGTTGTGTCCCTCTGTGACCTCTTTAAGTGTTTCTGAGCTGACCTGACAACAGTCCTGAATATAAAACAGAACAGGTGAAACAGGTAGGCAGCTGGACTTGCTTGAGTTTCTTGAAGACGTTTCACTTGTCATCCAAGAGGCGTCTTCAGTTCCAGCTTACATGTCCAGTCCACATGATGTAAATCCAAACACGTGACTCCATCCACAGATCTCCACCAGCTGCTGCTGCATCCTTTCAAACCTTCACATGTCTCCACATGTTATCCATCATGTCTCTGTCCTGCATGGAAACAAACCCACCGGCTGGATCTCAAAATGGAGGCCAGCTCCTGACCTTTTGATTGACACCTCACTGAGCCAATAGGAGCTTCCAGTGCTGTTGTTATGGCCTCCATAGCCAACTACTGCCTACTGTGAATTCTGACTGTGTGGGGCTTCATGATAAGGTCCCATTGTGTTCAGATGGACATTAAAAAAATAAAAATAAAATAGGTTTTGCTCAGTGTGTTGAAACTTACAGAAGCTCTTACAGTGATTCTGAGTGTTGGGCAAAGAAGTTACCCTTCAGATGAGACCATGTGTGTTCATGTACTAAAAATGGAACAAGAGCAGCTTCAGTTTGCTCTGGGTTTGACTTGGAGAGGAGTTTAAGGTGACTTTAGGTGAATCTACAGCACAGCAGCGTTACTGAAACTTAAAGTTAAATTTATTGAAAGTTTCCACAACATGATCATGAACAAATGAAACATATCTGTGGTTTACAGAAAGGAACAAAGCCAACATTTTTTGTGGCGATTGAATGACTGTATTTTGACTCGGAGTCGTCCTCACACATTCCTCTGCACAAGCACCACCTCTAACAACTGCACTGCTCCTTCACTTTAACTCAGATATACTGTGAACACTACTTCATCTTTTACTTTATTCTATCGTATATTTCTGTCTCTTGACTTCTGCAGTATTTGTTTTTGTCTTTGTCACTCTGTGTATGTTAATGTCATGCACCGATACACTGAAGCAAATCACTGTGTGAAAACCTGCTTGGCCACAAACCTGATTGTGATTGAGAGGAAACAGCAGCTGGACACACTGCTTCTCTTTACACATCCTGCCTCCTGTTTGACTCTTGTTGCAACGTGCTATTAATGTTTCAAGACTATAAGCTGTCTTTTTATCTAATCTTGTGTAAAACAAATATCTTGCTGGAAGACAACAGATCTGTCAGTAACTCTGGGAACAAGCAGCAGCAGCAGCAGCTCATGATCCAGCCTCTGTTATCAGGAGCTGAGTACATTTGTCTTCAGTTTCTCTTCAGTATTTCATGCTGGATGTTTAACTGTATTATTTTCTGCTTCCCATCCTTTGGCTTCTTTAACTCAGACGGCAGAAGTCACAATCCACAAACTCAAGCTGCTGTATCTTCACACAAACTTTTCTTCCTCAGAGAGTCTGCTGACAGCAGCTTCAGAGCCGCAGAGTCTTCCCTTTTCCGCACTCTCACATTCTCATACATACATTTGAGTTTTGTGAAACAGTTTTGGCGACGCACGATGAGCCCCGGGGATTATTGTCATAGCCAACCCCGATATTATAGAATTACAGTCAGACAGAGCGACTCCTGGTGCTGCGCGGACAATTACTCTGCGGCCTGGATCTCTGTGGAAAAGCTGCATTAGAGAAAAACCTCAGTCTATCAGATGCTGAAAAACAGGGAAGTGTTGGCAGATAATGTGTCAATACAAACCAGAGTAATCACAGCGGGGCTCAGAGGGGGTCTGACTGGCCTTTATTAGAAAGTTCCTCTCCAAGAAGAAACACAACACCGCTGGCTTCCTGCACAACACAAACAGGCTGCGGCCAAACAAGCATTTCTGTGACCCTTTGTTTTAAGACCATGCAGCCAGTTCTTCTTCTCCCTCTGGAGTCTGTGGGTCACTGTTATCAGAGAGCATACTTTCACTTCTTCAAAGCCTCTGTGAATCTGCAGGAGCTGTCTGAGTGAAACCACACTGTCATAGTAGATTTCTGAGGCAGAAACATCCAGCAGTGTGACGGCTCTTTAGCTCCGTCACCCACAGACACTTTACAGCAGTGTTGAGCTCTCTCCTGTGGACGCCTCATGATCTGCAGCGTCAGGTCAGACTCCACCCTGAGCAGGCAGCTGCCTCCATCTTGTGGTGAATCTCATATCCTACATTAAAACCCTGCAGAATTTCACTGGGAGCTGCCACAGAACACAGGCAGCTGAAGGTGGCAGTGTGACTCCACGAGAGTTTTCTCTCTCTGACTCAAAGAAAGAAAAGATGAACCTGCACACACACACACACACATGCACACACACTCCTTATTTAGCATTTCTGTTCACATTCATATTCAATTATGTTGAAATGTTTGCACAAGGCAAAATGTTTGTTTTGTAGAATGACACTGAGTTATCATTATAACCTACATTTATCGCAGAAGACCAGCTGAGTTTGGAATCTTATTATAGGGGGGTCTGATGTGTGTAACTACAATTTCAACGCTGAATTCTAGTTGAACACAGGGTGATATTATTTCAGTCTGAACATTTAAAACCTTTTTTCAGTTTGCTAAAATGTTGTTCCAGCATCAGACCTTTGATGGACATTCACCCTTCCCTCAGTGAAAACACATTTATTTTAATCCTTTTATTTACAGGTTTCCACCAAATCAAACTTTTTAAAGAAAGAAAGAAAAGACCCCGAACTTTATTTATTTAAACGTGTTAAATGAAGTTATAAATGAAGTTATTATAACTAAGGTTCAGGAACCAGACCACACTTCTCTCTCTCATCAATTCAGTCACCTGCTGTAACCTCTCCAGGTGTGTCTCACTCTTTCTCCTCTCTGTGTCTCAGACCTCAAATCCTTTTCATGTCCTCTCCTTTTTCTCAGCAGGACAGCAAATAGTCTCAGCCCCTGGCTCCATCGCCTCACAAGACATCATACATCAATCAATCAAAATGTATTCATAGAGCACATTTTAAAAACGACAGCAGTTGCTTTACAGTCAGACTAAGACACAACAAGAAATAACACACTACAACAAAGACCACGTGTTACAGAGGAATGCTTCTCTCACACCGAGTTAAAAGCCGAGGAATAAAAATGTGTTTAAAGTCGTGATTTAAAAACAGGTAAGGAGGGCGCCAACCTAATATGCAGCTAGTTTAGGGGCTGCTCCTGCAAAAGCACGGTCTCCCCTGTGCTTCAGCCTTGATCGTGGGACCTTCAGAAGCAACTGGTCAGCAGACCTGAGTGACCTTGAGGGGACATGTTGCTGTAAGAGGTCAGAGAGACAGGGTGGAGCCAGCCCGTTCAGAGATTTGTAGGTAAATAATAACATTTTAAAATCAATTCTAAAACAAATAGGAAGCCAGTGGAGTGAGGCCAATATAGGGCCGATATGCTCACGCCCTGACCAGCCATCAGGTCCTGTTCATCCCCTGGCAAATGACCCCATTTCATCCCATTGAACTCGACCCTCTCCCTGTTGTCTCTGATCCTCCAATCGTCCTCTAATTTCATACTGTACATATGTTGTGGTCTCTGTTAGTGAAACAAAATGAAAACATCTATTCACAGCTGAGAGTAATTACTCACATGATTATGACTCTCTGATGCACCTGTGTGAAACGTCTTTACACAACTCTCCAACCAGCAATTAGTCTGTATCCTTCTGTAAAAGATGCCACCTGTGTTGCTGTGTGCAGGCGTGGCTCACTGAGGGAAAAGGTGTGTAAGGAGAGAACAAGAGCACAGCACAGGGGGATTAATATTCAGCATTTCTGAGTTTGAAAAGTTTTAAAACAAGACAAGGTCAAAACCAACATGGCTGCAGTCTAGCGTAAAAGTGCCCACAGTGCCTGTGCAGCCTGCAGCAGGGTTTGTTCTCTCTAGTAAAATCATCTTTGGAGAGGAAAACACAGTTCATGCTGTGGTCTGCTTGCTTTCCTTTTTTGGCACCAACTGTAACATGGCACAGGCATAAAGCACAGATTAAGGTTGAACCATTTTCAGAGCTGTACGATGTATTTTCTTGTCTGTTGTGCAGTGAATGAAAGAATATATATTTATTTGACCATACGTTGTTTTGTTTTGAAAATGTAACCTCTGAATGGACGAATGTGTTGAAGCAAATGTGCAAAAGTGTAACACACACTGCATTTCACCATCTGTGTTTCATATGGTTCAGCTGTGCAGAGGCAGATCCTAAATACATGTTGTTGTCGTTTACACATCATTTATTACTCTGTAATTTATTCATATAACATGTAACTTAATCCCCTATGACAAGAAGGCAAACTCCATCCACTGATGAAGACCATGAGATGTGTGAAAGCCCCGGGAAAAGCGAATAAGTGGAACTAGAGTCAACACTAATCAGTCAGATTGCTGTTCCCTGGGTCTCGGCTTCACTCAGTATATTACAGATTTACATTGAATCAGACTGTGATGAATCTGTCGTCAGTGGAAGAGAAACATTTGACTTTGAGTTTCAGAAATCAAAAGTCAGCTTTGGACCGTAAACTTCCTGATGGTGAGTAACGACACAGTCAGCTCACACAGAGAACCATCAGTAACAGAGGATCAGTCATCAGGTGTAAAATTATGGGGTGCCGTTTGTAAAGTGTCTCACGCTGAAAATAACGTCAACATTTTGCCACATTTAGCTTCAAACAATGTTTAAAAAAGTGTTGTGAATTTTTTAACGTCAACTTTTACCACATTTACAGCAATATTTGTTAACTTAGAAATATATTAAATAGTTAAATCTAAATATTAAATGTGGCACCTAAATGTTAAATCTAAATATTACATCTAAATCTAAATCTAAATCTAAATATTAAATCTAAATCTAAATGCTAAATCTAAATGTTAAATCTAAATATTAAATATAAATATAAATGTTAAATCTAAATGCTAAACATAAATATAAATATAAATATAAATGTTAAATGTTAAATCTAAATGTTCTGGGTGAAACTAAATATTTAGCTAATATGCAAATTCACACTGCCGGTCACCGGAAATACCAAAATAAAAGCTCGAGATGGTCAGACTGTGTTTATAGAATCAAATAACAAATTAAAACCAACTTAACGGGGGAAATGGACACTTGAACATACATTAGCGTGATAATAACTACCTAAAATAACAAGAAACGTGTTTGGAGAAATTTTATTTGACGTGTACTTTGAGTTGTTAGTGTCCCTTAGGAGGGAATCACCTTGTTGTTTACAAATACTTCCGGGTAGAAAACCA